CTTGAATTGCAGGAACTGGATGTTTATGAGTGGTAGGCTGGTGGTGATGCATATCAGGGTTCAAAAACCCAAATTTCATAGTGATAATTTGTTTACATGTTTGTTTACGTTGTGGTTGCCCGAATTTTAAGTCAAAGTGAAGTCATACAATGAGGTATCGCTTTGCATGACGGTAACTTTTGAAGGTATTGTAATCTGTCTGACTTCCTGACTCCCTCGGCCCGCGTGTGAACGGTTTGTTTACCCGCACTGCGGTTCGAGAGAAAAGAGCGCTAGTCGTTTCCAGACCGGGGATAGAGGGACTGTGACAAGACCCAGGTTTCCCAAAGTTGCATTCATTAGTGAATGAATCTCGATCAGTGGATTTAGCCTCCCTACAAGTCTGGTACCCTCACCCAGAGTATACTTGTTGCCCTTTTTTGGTGTTCAAACCCCTCAGGAATACTGTTATTCAGAGTCGTACATTATTCTGACAAAAAGCCAATGTTACCAATTTATAGCTTCACACTTTCAAATGTTACAATACACACACACTTGCTTGAAATAACCTCAGATCTAGGCATTGGTAGAGTACAAATATGGCGTAACCCTTAGTTACGTGTAAGTACATGATACAACATTCTAACAAAAGCTCTGCACTCCATCATAATTACAAATTATTCTATAACTTTTAACATAAAAGTTTAAGTGTTTCCATGGCAACTCATGATGCAGTCGCTCCTCCTGGTTGTCCCTTTACTGCTGCTGTTGTAGTTGGCAAACTTGTTTTTGATTCATCCACTTTACTGCAGTGGATTTTAAATGCCGGCGTTACCCACGTCCCACAGGAACACTGATCACCTAAAAAGACAAAGATCTCATGAGTGGCTGGATTATGTCCAATTGATAATACAAGTCATATTCATTGGTTCTACGGCTGCAGAAATGGTGCAATTAGTTGGGACTATACTATGGTACTATACTTGAACAATTCTTTAAAAAATAAATTGTCAAATCACCAATCACATTACTAAGATTATTATTGCAATTGAAAATGAGCAACTCTGATATCAGTGTATTATTGTTTTAACTGCAGTAATATTCAATACACACCAAGAAGACAATAAATGTCCATAGCATCAGTCTCGTTTATTGTAATTTCTTATGTGGATAACCTTCATCCATGGCAACAGTTCTGGGTGATTCCATTCTCTAACATGGATACTCAAGCCCATAGGCATTACATGATTTTCAAATGTGCAAAATGCATATCGCTTTGAATACCTTTCATTTATAGACGTGTATATGTATATAAAGATTAAATTTTCTAATTCATTCTTAAAATTTGAACACAAGTTGATCAAATGGAATAATGGATAAATGCATCTTACCTGCCCAATTAAATGAACCCAACCTAGCATTACACTTAGGACAGAGAAGCTGAACCAAAAAAAAAAAAAAAGATTATGGTATTCATCTTTATTTATGTAACTATAGTGACTGGCAATAAATGTCCTTGCTGTCATTTCTGTGTAAATTACAAATACTAACGCTGACGGTAAATATAGTAGATTGCAATTGGTTATGTGATCATTTTACTATACCTATAATGGAAGCATTATGACAAATTAATGTACAAGTTGGCTGTAAACTTGATCCGGCCAAACACCCCCAAAGTCACATCCATTAACGAATGAATCTTGACCATTGAGTCTGTGACACACTCGCCCAGGATACAGTGGCTTTGGCCCTTCCTATTGAATCTGTGGCAAACTCACCCAGGGTACAGTGGATTTGACCTCCCTATTTCATCTGTGACACACTCACCCAGGATACGGTGGCTTTGGCCTTTCCTATTGAGTCTGTGACATACTCACCCAGGATACAGTTTGACCTCCCTATTTCATCTGGGACACACTCACCCAGGGTACAGAGGATTTGTTCTCCTCAATGAGCCAGCTGCACACTCACAAAAAGAATAGTGGATTTGGCCTGAGTCTGTATGACAAACCTCAATATTGGCTACAATATAGTTGCTAGGATATAGGTATGCAAATGACACTTACCTTTCCTCCAATCACACCAGCTAACACTTGTTCCATCCAAGCCACTGGTTCTATAAATATTGATGTACACACAACCTGGTCACTGTATGTCAGTTTTCCAGATTTAGCTTTGAATGTTCTTGCCCCTTTACCGATTTTGTGTTTGAGTATACTGGTGGCCTAGTGAAGAAACACAAGGACATCATGTTAACATATCACCTCCCAATGTTGTTTTATACCATATACCGTGGGGGCATTTCGCAACCATGTGGTAACACTATCATAAACTACTGAACATGTATGATGTAAATGAAACACCACTATTTTCACATCGTTCGAATCACATGGTCCCGTGTCTTCGACCTATAAGCCTCTACACGATAACGTGCTGGATCGCATAGGCTAATTGCGTATCTGAAGCAGTGAGATCTGATTGGGCGTACCAAATTTTAAAACAAAATTCCACTCCCTATGAAGATATCCTTCCCACGCAAAACTGCGTTGATTGCCTGTACCTGATGAGGCTTGAGGGCACCAACACTGAAAACTTTTGCAATTTTATCATCACAAATATCACGATTCATGGGCGCCGCCATTTTGTTTGAAATGAAACGCCAAAGAGGGATTTGTAACAGGCAAACTGATTGGACAATGACTACTGGGGGCGCTGTTAGAATACGCATATTTGATGGTTGTTCTGCCAAGGTCTGTTTAGAGGCTTGGCCAAATAAACTTAGACCTTGGCTAGTGAAGATGCTATTTTTAGTGAATTGAATTTATTAATATTTGTTTTTAAATTTGGTAAAGCTGAAAGTATTCCACATACTTTTAAACTACCTGAAAATTACACACGATGAGTTAATCACAACTTTTCAGTACATCAGCCAGACATCCATGCTAAGGCTGGCCTGCAACAAATATCCAGTATTTTATGAACATTACTACTCAGTTGGAACAACACAATACTAACAGATATTGTTGATTGGTATGAAAATACAAATTACGTACCTTGAAGATGGATCTTCTACACATTCTGCATTTATAGACAGTTTGAGGTTCATCTTCATCATATAACTGAGGATCCTTGGCTATACAACTAGACACTGGATCATCGTAACCACTCCTGTCTGAAATCATAATATATAAAATCTATAGATCTCATCAACTGGTCACATTATTCGAGTCATTACCATTACTATATTTACACATAAGGGTTATGTAACTAGTCTCTGACAATAATACTATTACCGATTTCACCAGTAAAAAAAAAATCAACCATCTTTCTCAGATAAATATTATTTCAAGAAATATTTATATGATGAATTCTCAATGAAGTAAAACAACAAATGATGTAAATTGTCAATCACCATGACAACTAAGCATGATTCACTATCGTGTTCTTTTAAAAACACTTTTTTTATTTCAAATGTCGTCAACAACCATAAATGCCTCAATTAATTATTGTTACCTGTCAGTTATTCATAATATTTATATTTTCTTGTTTTCTCAGGATTCTGGACGAACCCAGTAAACACATTGCAAACATGAAAGCTTTGTCAGTTTTATCGTAAGCTTGTAAATTTGCTGTCAATGGGAATTGAACCTTTAAAAATGGCAATAATATAGCTACAGTATAGTACCAGAAATGTGAAATCAATAGTGTGCATATGATTTTTGGAAAGAAATTTGAATTAATGAAGAAATAATGAAGTTATGAACTTGACTTACCAAAGACAGCACGGGCTACCCTTTCAAGTTTATACTGCTTGTACAGTATATGATCTTCAAAGTTCTTAGGACATCCCATTGCTTCAAAGAGACGTAGTTGCTCCATGAACCCATGGTTAGGACTACAACACAAAGTAATAACATTCAGCATCGACAGATCTAACCAAGGGTGTGCAAAGTGGGCGACTTTATTGAAATCACACACTGCGAAATAAACTGATTTAAAAACAGGTTTCTTAATTTCTGTCTAGATGTTTTTTTTGTGTCCTTTTCTACTTAAGTCCTTTTTGGCGATGAGCAGAAGTGTCTAGGTCTCTTTGGGCAATGAGCAGATGTGTCTAGGTCTCTTTTGACAATAAGCAGAGGTGTATAGGTCCCTTTTGGCAATGAGCAGAAGTGTCTAGGTCTCTTTTGGCAATGAGCAGATGTGTCTAGGTCTCTTTGGACAATGAGCAGATGTGTCTAGGTCTCTTAAGCAATGAACAGATGTGTCTAGGTCTCTTAAGCAATGGGCAGATGTGTCTAGGTCTCATAAGCAATGAATAGATGTGTCTAGGTCTCATAAGCAGTGAACAGATATGTCTAGGTCTCATAAACAGT